GAAAGTATTAACTGGGATAGTATCTCCCAAATTGGAACATCATGGTATGGTTATACGCTCCCTTCCCTAAGGCTTCATTCTGGAAAGTAAGTTTGGGGCTAGGCTGGGTTAAGGTGTTTGGTGCCCTGTAGCAGTAGCAGTCCCATATATACACGTATGAACTATTCTAAGCATGATGGCATTAAAAATTATACTTCAAAACATAACACAAAATATGTATTATGTGAACCTGGTTTTAGCCATGTAACTCTGAAGACACTAATAACCTGGTTCCATGCATTGTCACTTATTTTCCCAAATAATATAAAAAAACATATTCACAAAAACAAGAGAATTGTCAGATAATGTGATGTAGGAWGAAGCTAGACCTTTTTCTTTTTGCACTGTGACCTTAGCTAACGACCTTAGCACTGTGACCTTAGCTAACGAAAAGGAAATGAAAAGGAAATCCCCCCCCCCCCAAAAAAATTGAAGAATATATTGGATAGAAAATTAAGGGAATTTTTAAAGATAAAATAGAGGATTTGATAAATATTGGAATGGAGAAGGAAACCATGACTGAGGAATTTAGGGAAATAAAAATATCATGATTTCATTGTATACATTTAGAACAATGATTTAAGAATTGGTTAAAAAAATAGAAATGGAAGTAAACTTACTCAATTTGAGCAAATAGTACAAAATGGAAAATATATAGAAGAACATAAAAAATCTGAAAGGAATAACTAGTAAAATGTATAAAATAATAGTGGAAAATAAAGAGGAAAAAGAACAATATTCTCAAGGAGATATGGGAAGAAGATTCAGGGATTAAAACAAGTGATGTGGAATGGACACAATTATGGGAACAAATTTGTCAATATGTGTTAAAGGAAAAGATTACAAATTAATATGGAAATGTACTTAACACAAGTAAAAAATAACTAGTATTAATAAAAACTACTCAGAAAACTGCTGGAGGTGATGCGAAGAAGTAGGAACATATATCCAAATGTGGTGGCATTGTAAATATGAAAGTACTAGGGGAAAGTATTTAGAGAAATAGACTCTGTTATGAATATAAAAATGGAGAGAAGTTCTAGTACTGCTTTATTATCATTGTATAACACTAAACAATTGAAAAAAGAAGAAGAAAACACAATATCCAACTTATTAACAGTAGCAAGACTACTTATAGCAAGAAATTGGAAAAGGAAATAAATATACAAATTGAAGAGTGATATAAGGAATTTATGGAAATTGCCAATAAATAATAAGTTGACATGTAGGTTAAAAGGGTGTTGAGGGCAAACAATTCCAGAAAATAATGGTTTCTTAAGTCTGATGCCATAAACCTACTTCTTTTTAAAGGATCTGAGCATAATCAATGGCAAAATAAGTGGTTTCTTAAGCCTGATGCCTTAAACCCAGTTCTTATTGAAGGATATGAACATAAACGATCCCAGAAACGGTAGTTTCTTAAGACTGATGCCCTAAAAATGACTGAAAGGGGCACTTAGTAAGTTCCCTATTGCTGCCAATGAGCTGGGTCGTCCTGGAGTGAAAACAGTTCTTTCGGCTGCTAGAATGAAAAATTGGATGTTGTCCACTTTAATTCAAGGGGCTCCTGAAAAATAGATCAGAGGGGCCACCGAAATCTGGACACTGAAAACGGCATGGGGTTTAACTAAATTGCACATCCCTAATAACCACTTATCTGTTGCTATAATTTCCCATTTTAGACCTAGATTACAGACTTCTACAATTCAGGGGTTTCTCTCTTTTGAATTTAAAAAAAGAAGGAAAGTGGTGTGGGCAGGGATTACACTTGCCTGTGTGACAGTTCAGAATGCAGAGGATTACTGAAGAACTGGGGGAAAGTACGTTGCGTGTGATGGGAGTGAATATGTTATCCATTTTCATTATAAATGCACCGGAACAAAACACTGTGGTAAGAAAACTACCCCCCCCCCTTTCCCCTCCTCATGGAATGAGGTAGGAAAACATATAGCACAGGTCCCAATAAAGTTAGTATGGTAATTTTCTTGCTGTCTTGTATCTTTGTTGTTTGTGCAGGTATGCTTTGTCTGTTGTCTTAGTAATGGGGGAAATGTAATGCATTAGCTGTATCCTGAAGCTGGCAATAAGTTCTACACGTTGTTTTTCAGACATCTGTATTTAGTGTGTGTGTGTGTGTGTGTGTGTACATACACACATACACCATAGTGTTACAAATTCCCTAGGTTCCTAAGTAGAAGTGAAATCAATAAAAACAATCCTGTGCTTAAATTGCTGAAGTACTCAATACGATACGGGTTATTTTCCTTTATAGCTTTCACACCAATATTATTAATTCTGTTTTGGCACTTGCTTGAGAGCAATCAATGAGATTAAGAATTTAATGTAAGCAGATTTAATTCAGGAACATATATACCATATTCTGAAAACATCCATATAGGGAAAGCAATGCAACTAATACAGAAATAAATGTCTTTTTATAAAATGTCTTGCTACTAGAATTTTGCTTAAACTACAAACTTTATAATCAACAACATATGGAGTTTTGCACAATCATGTTGTGTATATTTGGAATTAATACATAGTTTGAGGTGTTGTCCTATAGGCAGCAGGAGACGACGGGATCCCAGCTGAACTGTTTTAAATCTTAAAAGATGATGCTGTCAAGGTTATGCATGCCATATGCCAGCAAATATGGAAAACACAAGAATGGCCATCAGACTGGAAAAAATCAACTTATATCCCCATACCAAAAAAGGGAAATGCAAAAGACTGCTCCAACTTCCGTACAGTGGCCCTTATTTCTCATGCCAGTAAGGTAATGCTCAAGATCCTGCAAGGAAGACTCTAGCAATACATGGAGCGAGAGTTGCCAGATGTTCAAGCTGGGTTTAGAAAAGGCAGAGGAACGAGAGACCAAATTGCCAATATCGCTGGATAATGGAGAAAGGCAGGGAGTTTCAGAAAAACATCTATTTCTGCTTCATTGACTATTCTAAAGCCTTTGACTGTGTGGATCATAATAAATTGTGGCAAGTTCTTGGTGGGATGGGCATCACAAGCCACCTTGTCTCTCTCCTGAGGAATCTGTACAAGGACCAAGTAGCAACAGTAAGAACTGACCAAGGAACAACAGAGTGGTTCAAGATTGGGAAAGGCGTACGGCAAGGCTGCATACTCTCACCCAACCTTTGTAACTTGAATGCAGAACACATCATGCGATGTGCGGGGCTCGATGAATGCAAGCTGGGGTAAAAATTGCTGGAAGAAACATTAACAACCTCTGATATGCAGATGACACCACTCTGATGGCCGAAAGCGAGGAGGAGCTGAGGAGCCTTCTAATCAAGGTGAAAGAAGAAAGCGCAAAAGCCGGGTTGCAGCTAAACATCAAAAAAACCAAGATTATGGCAACAAGAATAATTGACAACTGGAAAATAGAGGGAGAAAATGTGGAGGCCGTGACAGACTTTGTATTTCTAGGTGCAAAGATTACTGCAGATGCAGACTGTGGCCAGGAAATCAGAAGACGCTTACTTCTTGGGAGGAGAGCAATGTCCAATCTCGATAAAAAAGTAAAGAGTAGAGACATCAGAATGGCAACAAAGATTAGCTTAATTGTCTTTCTATCGTCACTTCACGGATGTGAGAGCTGGACCTTAGGGAAGGCTGAGCGAAGGAAGATCGATGCTTTTGAGCTGTGGTGTTGGAGGAAAGTTCTGAGAGTGCCTTGGACTGCGAGAAGATCCAACCAGTCCATCCTCCAGGAAATAAAGCCCAGTTGCTCACTGGAGGGAAGGATACTAGAGACAAAGTTGAAGTACTTTGGCCACATCATGAGGAGACAGCAAAGCCTAGAGAAGACAATTATGCTGGGGAAAGTGGAAGGCAAAAGGAAGAGGGGCCGACCAAGGGCAAGATGGATGGATGGCATCCTTGAAGTGACTGGACTGACTTTGAAGGAGCTGGGGGTGGTGATGGCCGACAGGGAGCTCTGGCGTGGGCTGGTCCATGAGGTCACGAAGAATCGGAGACGACTGAACGAATGAACAACAACAACAACAACAACCTATAAAATGAGCAATTAAATGTTTACTGTCAATATTGTGATTAGCAATCACTGGCAGGCTGAAATGGTGTGTCAGTTAAGATTAGTAGCCATTCAAATTCATTGTTTTTCTTTTGGCTGTCACATAAAAAACCTCTGTGGAAAGTAAGAGCTGTCTTTAAATTGATTCAATGGATTCAGGTGCCTTATTCTATGTGAAATCCAAAATTGAAGAGAACTTGAGGAATGTTTATACTGGACTCAAAACCTGTATGGTTATGGAATATTTGGTTAGGTAAAGTTTAGAATATCTCTTATTTTATTTAATGTTTCATAACAATGCTGTGGGGTTTTTTGAGCAAAGAAAAATGGGATGACAGACAAGTGCCTGCACTATTTGTGAATCCCCAATATTACTGGCCCCGATCGGCCTGTCCCACACAAGAGCTCATTAGGTTTACATCTGAACCTGCAACGGGGAAGTATAAAGTGCAGGGCATTTCAAAATGATGGGGAAAGGCTACATAAAAAGTTACTAACTGTTTAATGAGTTAGCAAGTTTTACTAACCATTTTGAATCAGAAATAAATCTGAAAGATAACTCTGAAAACGGAGAATATCTCATTAGGCCTAATGTTACAGGGTCATCATTTCCAAATGGCTGAGACTAGGGGTTCTTTGTGTGATGGGATCATTTGAAGCTTTTTGTCTCTCACTTTCAAGTGGTAAGAGTTTCATTCATGAGTAGTTCATGGTTGCAACAATATAACAATTTCAAATTGGGTCCATCTTTTTTGAAACACTCTGTATTTTCTTTTCTTGTAAATATGGAGCCAAAATTGTATCTGTGCTCTTTTGTAGTATGATGACAATAAAGTCCATTGAAAGATGGACAATCATTGATGCTTCATGCAATGACTTTGAAGTCAATGTACAATAGAGGAAAATTCTCAGGATCGATTCTGTTGCAACATCCATTCAAAAAGCGAGATCTATTGATTTTGATGAGTCCGTCCTTGAACTATTTTTTTAATAGAAGTGTAGAGCAAGAGGAGCATACACAAATGAAATAATCGAAATGGAAATAAATAGACATCCTTCAGAGCAATGGTTTGTGGTATTATTGTATTGTTGAATGGCTGAAACATTTCTGGCTAGATCTGAGATATTAATAATAAGCATTTAAGATGACTAGTGTTATAGATTTGTATAATCCAGGTTAAAAATGGTGAAGATATTTTTAAATCCTCATATATTCACATCGGCTTTAGTAAAAAAAACATGATTTCATAATGCCTTAATAGCTGTTAACCACTCCAGTATTTTTCTGCTTTGATCATCCCTGGAAGTGCTTAGTTTATTCTACTTACAGTGTCAATACTATCCACTCTATGCAAACCAGAGAAAAAAGATATATGTAATAAATATTATTTACTTTTTATATTGCTTATATTATAAGCACATATATATCTCAATCTCTAGTCTTACACACCAATATAAGTGAACAAGTGAAACAAATTATTTTGGAATGAATATGAAAAATTGAGTGAAATCTTCTATTAGACCAACCAACCCCTTAAAAAGAACATATAAGCGTTTATATTCCACAGAATTCTTCATCATACAAAAAGAATGTTTCAAAAGTAGGAAAGTGTCCACTATTTGAGTTACATTTTCATCCTGAAGAAAGTATTTGAGATTTCTGCAAGTTTCTACACAAGATGTAATTGCTGGTTATCAGATACACTGATGAAAAATGAATGTATTGTACTGAATTTTCAGGTTGATGATTGTCTGGAAGATGTGATACTCAACGATGACTATAGATAATATTTTCTTATACATGCGTGGCATTCCTTATTTTCCTGGGATGGACTGGATAAGTAGTAGGCCTTGAAGGAAGTGCTTCACCATTATATCTATTGTAGAGAACCTATAAATGATAGAGATAACATTTTAATACAATGTTTCTAAATTATATTACTTATACATTGCTCTGTTAAAAGTCCAAAGTCTCCATGCAGTTAGAATAAATGATATTGAGCACAGTAACTATGCAGTAATTCCCACTGGACTCAGAAATATTTATTTCTGGGTAAATTCAGGAGTTTACTGTAAATCCTATTGAACCAAGTGGAGTGTGTGGAGAAGGAGGCCATTGTCACTAACTGACAAGAAAAACTTTAGCTGAGTCAGGGACCAGTGATCAATGTGTTTTCTTCACAAGAATAACTAAAAGTGCTGACAGTTTTATCATCATTTAATGGATTTATTTATCGCATGAGATAAGTGTTACATATTCATAAGGTCGCATTTTGTATAGGGATTAATCAATTGTATCATGAGTTAACAATCAGGAGCTCAAATTAGTTCTGCATTCACATGCAGAAATGTTAGTCTCATGCTCATTTTATTGTTGCTGAAAACCCATGAATAATACATTTCAGCTTTGTTCCAATAAAAGTCAAAATCAATGCTTTGAAAAATAACCAAATATTGCAGCTGAAAAATCAAGAACCTCTTGGCTTTCTGATCAAACCTCTTTTCACATTCCTGTGCTTCCTTTCTGTAAAATGTAAGAATAATTAGACCATGGTACTACACATTTACTTATTATGTACACTTAAATTTCCTTTTAAGAAAAGCTTATACATGATTTTAAATAAATAAAGATAGATCCATTTATATATTGCAGTGTTTCCAAACCTGTGGTCCATGAACCACCAGTGCTCTACACAAATGAAAATATGGTCTGCGGCCTCACCATTACTACACCTTTGCCTTGAAATCACATGGCAGCAAGAGCAACTGGTCTTGCAAAACCCTCTTATAGTACTGAGGCAACAGGGATGTAGGAGGGGAGAGGCTGACTACCCATAAAAGATTACTACTACCAAATCAGCTCTTGATTATTAAATATGGTTTTCTGTGGCCAAGCAGATGGTGACTACTGGATGGTATATGTTCTGAATCAGAAACTAGAGCTGATGTGGTCTATCCAATGCACTTTTCTGAATCAGCAATCCAGATAACGAAACCAAATCTAAAACTGACCAAAAACTTATTCGTAATCTTTTTGGTACTTTTTGGTACTTATATTTATTTATACCCCACTTTATCTTCCGTGACTCAAAGTGGTTTCTGCAATTGTCAATGAAAAGATATGTACAAGTGGTCCCTGGTACAAGTGGTCCCTGGTATAATGGTCCCTGGTCAAGTGGTCACTGGTCAAAAAAAGGTTGGGAACCACTGATCTATTGTCTTAATTTATAGTCTCTAAAAAGGACATACATTTAATCTACATAGGTAAAATGTGGCCCCCAAATTGCTGGCATCTTCACAGCACTAACTTCCTGATCCCAGAAGCACAAAAATATTAAAAAAATGGTCCTCTGTATGGACCACTTTTGACACATTTTGTCTCCCCAGGTCATTGTAGGCTCAGGAGATTTTTTTTTAATTAAAAAAAGACATGCCAGAAAGTGAATTTTGGAAGTACAGTAGTGAAGTGTAGTTTGGAGGATTGGGTGGTTGAGTTCTGACTGTTTTTTCCATGGGGGCGTTGGAGATAGCCATTAAAGTCTGCTAGGAGATTAATGTGGTCCTAATAGCCTCCTTCTATCGACATCCCATGCTATAAACTCTCGGTATCGCAATAATATAATGTTTACATTATTTAGCAAACTATAAAGGGAAATTGTTTGGTAAAATGTGTCCAAATCTGTTTGGCTACACTGCTGTCAACACCTCGGTAAAGCCACAGCTCTCTCTTGGAACATCTCAGAAAACATTGGCTTGAAAGCTGGTGTTTGGAATTAGGAAAAATATGGATAGTCAAACATATCTTTTCATTGACAATTGCAGAAACCACTTTGAGTCACGGAAGATAAAGTGGGGTATAATAATAATAATAATAATAATAATAATAATAATAATAATGAAATAGCCTCTTAAAGCTAACTTTGATGCCTACAACTGAGCTTTTGACACTGACCACACAGCAAGAAAATGATTACATCTATTGTGATTATCCTATCATTCCTTTTATGGCATTGGCAAGATGCAGGACATCTCCACAGCCATTCTTAGGCACAGAATCCCAAGCTTTCAGTTTGCCAAATGGCAGCCCTTCAGACAGAAATACATCAGCATTGGAAAGCAAACCATACATCATGTCAAGTGGTACACAGCAGGCTTGGAAAATATCAAAGCAAGAGACCTGGTCCCACATGCTTATTGTTTGTATTTGTTATCTTTCTTCACAGCCCAAAGGGCTGCTGATAAGAGACGTAAGTTTAAGAGTCTAAGGCAGGCATCTTCAAACTGTGGCCCTCCAGCTGTTTGGGCCTTCAATACTCAGAATTCCTGACAATTGAACAGGCTTTTAGTTTTAGAACATGGTTATTTACTTTCCAAGCACTGATTGCATGTGTAGTCTCCTGAAGTCTTCCCACTAGCTGCACCAGCTTTGCCATGGATGAGGTGGGCTAATGCCACACCCTTATTTCAATCTGCTCCTTTGAACACTGAAGTTCTCTGGGGGATAGTCTACTCCAGCCAGGCAGAACCCAACTGGCAACGATCACCCAGGGGACCCTTTCATTGGCTGCTCCAAGATGGTGGAATGACATGCTGGACCTGAAGCCTACCCAATCACTTTTAACTATGAATTTTAAACTCATGTCTTGTGTTTAGTAAAGGTAAAGGTTTTCCCTTGACACTAAGTCCAGTTGTGTCCAACTCTGGGGGTTGGTGCTCATCTCCATTTCTAAGCTGAAGAGCCAGCGTTGTCCGTAGACACCTCCAAGGTCATGTGGCCAGCATGACTGCATGGAGCACTGTTACCTTCCCGCCGGAGCGGTATTTATTGATCTACTCACATTTGCATGTTTTCGAACTGCTGGGTCAGCAGAAGCTGGGGCTGACAGCAGAAGCCCATGCTGCTCCCCAATTCGAACCTGCGACTTTTCGGTCAACAAGTTTAGCAGCTCAGCGGTTTAATCCAATGCACCACCAGGGGCTCCCTGTCCTGTGGTTATTATGTTTTAATCTTTGTTTTGTGCATTTTAATATATGTATTTCATAAAATACATTGTAACATATGTATTTTATATAATATTTTATGATGATATTTTTTAACCATATTGTTCCCTGCCTCAAGCCACGTGGAGAAGTGTGTAAGAAAGATTATCATCATCATCATCAACAACAACAACATCAACATCATCTTCATCCAATTCTGTAATTCGCCTTGAGTCCCCTCCGGTGTCAAGAAAGGTGGGGTAGAAATGAAGTAAACAAATAAATACAGGAACCATTTTCCTAGAATGATCTCAGCAGACAGGAGGCTTGATTATAGTGGTTTGAATTATTAACTTTTCATGATACATGTCGGGAATCCCTTATCCAAAATGCTTGGGACCAAACATGTTTGGGAATTTGGACATTTTCTCCAGATTTTGGAATACCCATATTTGTATATATGCACAAAGTAAGATTCTCATGGAGATAAGACTCAATTCTAAACACAAAAATCATTAATTTTACATGTACATTATTTACATAGACTTAATGAAGTTTTATACAATATTTTTGATAATTTTGTGCAAGAAAGAAAGGTTATATACATGGAATTCTCAGAAAGCAAGGGTGTAAATACCCCGACCACTCATGCAAACAATTTCAAATTTTGGAATTCAGTATAAGGGATGCTGGACCTTATGTCACCTGTTGCTACAAGATGAAACTGGAAAAAAATTGTACAACATTGACTGAAGTTTCAGAAGTTGTGGTTAGATTCAATGCAAGTGATAAAGACACATGGTATGGAAAAGTTTTTTACACTCCTTCTACTTGCTAGTGAACATTGAGAATTACCAGAAGAATATTCCTTGGTAACATACCACTTTCCCCAGTAAAGGTACTTGAATTGATAGACTAGATCTTTATAAAAATTAATCTACCTCACTCTCTATGATGCTTCATTGTTCTGGGAATTGCCTTATGCTCAGTCAAGTGATAGCCCATGGTTAAGGTGACTTTGATCTGTTCTTTCAATGCCAATTTCAGCTCTAAATCAAACAGTTTACAAAAAAGCCATACATTCTGATAACAAACATGAAAGAGGAAACTAACCTCTGTGTTACCCTGTGATGCAGAGTAACATCAAAAGACTGATATTCTCAGAGATCAAACAAAGCATATATGGGCTTCATATATCAAGGACATGGTGGCTCAAAGGATTTGTCCTTAGGCCTGCTGTGACTCACCACAAGAAAAACTCACACATTATGGCACTTGCCTACAAGATTTGAGGACGTGGGGAAAAGGATATCCATTAAAAGCAGCAAAATTTTGTCTTAAGAACAAGGGAGAAGTTGCTAGTACCATAAAATATGTAATGACATCTGTGTCACTTTTTATATAACGTCTGGTGAGCCATATATTTTGTTTTCACATTGGCACTGCATATGGCAGAAGCTTAAAGGAAATGGTAATCTGACATTAAGAAAAAACTACAAGCCTAAGATACACAGCTAAACCCTTGAGAAGTGTAAGAAGTGTCAATAAACCTAACATTGTGTTTCATAATTGCTTATTTTGAACATTACATGACAGATATAACTGCTACTAGCATTTTTAAAGCGGCATTGCTGCACAGCGTGACTTGAGTTGCTCATCTAGCCCCAATCTTCCTCTCCCATCTACTTTTCCATTCCACTACTCAAAATGGCATGCAGGTAAATCCCAGAAAATGTGTGCAAAATTTAACCAGGGCCCCATCTATACTGACCATTTAATGTAAACTGTGGTGGCCAGACAACAACCGCCTACAAAAGCAAGTAATAGAAAGCCCTTAGTGTACACCAGTGCTCTGTGGTTTATACAATCACCATCGAGGACTCAAACTGGTTTCAGGATTTCCTGTGTAATCATCTGCACAGAGAAATCACTTCCTGCATTACTAGTTTGAAACTGTATTAAATAGTTACTATAGACGTGTCCAAAACAATTAATAAGATTTCATTGTATTGTCATAATCCTTTGTATCCAAATATTGCATGTAAATAATATACTTTAAAAAGTGTCTGTATTGTAGGTAAAGTCTTCTAGCCACACAAAAGACACAAAGGAACCCATGAACACCTTTGAGACTAACTAGGAAGCAGTTCACATAACCTTTTGTGGACTTTAAAGGTCTTAATTTATGTATTTTAGAATGTCTTAATGTATCCATTTATAATTTTGTTTAAAATGTTGTTTTTAGTTGTATATTATTGAAGACGTTGAATGGCTATCTGGCTGTCAAGCCACCTTGAGATGCCTCCAAGTTGGAGAAAGCTGGGGTAGAAATGTCATAAATAAATAAATAATTTTTGTCAACTTCAGGAGATGCAGCTGATGAAGCATTCAGTGAAGAGAGCTGTGTCCACAAAAGCTCATGCTGAACATCTTTTGTTTCCAATTTGTCCAAACAATGGCATAAAAACTACTATTCTGTCATGTGTAAGACAGGAAAGAATATTTCATTTATAGATAGAAGCTAAGATTTAGGGTTGAAAAAAAAAACCTTTCAGAGTTTTTGGAAAACATCATTTGGGTCTATTACATGTTTATGGAATATGTTACCATCTCAAAAAGACTTGTTCTAATTACCTCTGATGGAGGTTTCAGATATGCATCTTGATTTGAGCCATAAATGCTTGGACTAACAGGGACAATTCCTGCAACAAAGACCACAACATACACAAGATCATTGTAGAAGACAGTTTAAAACTGCAGAAAGTGTTAAACATTTTATGATACAAAGAGCAGGTATTTTGGTAAAAACAAACAAAAACCCAAACAGACAACTCTTCATAAAACATGGTATATGGCTTTTATTTCCCAGTATTGTCTTTGTAAAATGCAATAAAACTACATTTTTTAAAAAAGATTAAGTTAGATCTTATTTAAATATCCTAAACATGCATGTTAAAGAATTGACATTCATAGCTATCATTCAAAGCTGGCTCAGGACATTTTCTGCCAAGGGAAAGGTCAAGATGATTGACACTTACAGAATCTATAGAAGTGGACAGTTCTGCTATATGAATACTACTTCAACAACTAGAGGTGGGATATTTGACACCACAACTGAGGATGGCTGGTTAAATTAGGAGACACTGGCAGCTTTCAAGACTGTTATGCCTCCATGTCATTTTAGGATCACAGCAGAATAAGGATCCTTCAACGCACGCGCGCACACACGCATGCATGCATGCATGCACACATACGATACATGCAATAAGAAAGGACTCTAAAAGGTCGTCTAAGGGCTGAGAACAAATAAAGCAAATACATAAATAAATAAATAAATAAATAAAGGACAAAGAAGATACTGTTTTCCTGTACCTTTGGAGCTTTATGATCTGCCAAATCAATGTAAGATCTTAGACAAGCTTTTCTCACAACATACCTCTCATTTGTACAGTCTCATACATTTCTTCTGGATTGTAGCCATAATTTTCATTTCCACTACGTGTAATTGTCTCCAAATTTCTATTAGTTGTTTTAGTTTCAGCAATATTCCTGCAAAATAAAAACAGTTTATGTTTTAAACTCAGTTATTTGAAATCCACATGTGCAAACCAACAATTGTTGTGTGCCTTTATTCATTTCCGACTTACAGAGACTCTCTGACAAATATATCACAGGGTTTTCTTGGCTGTATTTATTCAAAAGGGCTTTGCTTTTGCCTTCCTCTGAGGATGAGAGAGTTTGACCTGCATTTGAACTCTACTCTCTTAATTATTTTCACATCTTTATAGCAGACAAGTAATTTAAGTAAACACACTACTAAGCCAACCAATGTCACTGGTTACTGGACACCACCAACAACTTGACACTGCCATTACACTGGCAACACACATTTTGGTGCCTCAAATGTTACCTTTGTTTCTGGTATATTTGATTTTCTGATTCCAAAAATGTTACCAGTTTCCCCCTATCAGCTCTAGTTTTTGAGAGACAGAACATATGCCATCTATCGGTCGCCATTTGCTCGTCCATAAAAAAAATCATGATAATCATATCTAGTTTTTGAGAGACAGAACATATGCCATTATTCAGTCACTATTTGCTCGCCCATAGAAAACCACGATGACCACAGCTAAGAAACTATAGCTGATGTGATCTGTCCGATGCAATTTTCTGAACTGGCACCCCAAATAACTCCAGGAACAGACCTATAAAACATGACACCAAGAAAAAAATACTGCTGTAATCTATAGTAGACTCACCAATTTCACAAGGGTTTGGGGCCCAGGTCCCTTGCAAAAGTGGGGAAGTGCAAATAAAAAACCCCACATTTTTAGCTGAGCGATCACATCTCTAGGTCTTCCAGTATGACACTATGTTCAATTTACAATGGAAGAAAACAATAGAGTTATGCTGGAGGACTCAAAGATTCTCAGAGCTAACATACTCAAATCTGTAAAAATTAAATCCATAGGTTTAGCGGGGCAACTGTATCAGAGTTGATATCTATTTTGTGCAGCCAGTGAAGATATAGCACTAGACAGTTTCTTCTAGATTTTTTTCCCAGAAAGACTTTTAACATCACAACACTACTGGCCTCATTAATTCAGCTTCACAGGGGCACAGTCTTAGGTTTTCCCACTGCTATTTCCACAATTTTTATGACCACAGAAAACCCATTAATAACAGGAAAATAAAAGCAGAAGGGCCTTTTGATTAGTAGCACTGGAGGGGGTCAACAGCCTTCGAACACTACTTTACCCACAATGTCAGGGAACCGCCAGAAGGCTAAACGGAGGGCTGCACAAACACAACGAAGACCAAGTACCGAAAGCACAATAATCCCAATTAAACAGCTCAGGGGAGGATCTCAGCGGCTCACATGTCTTTACATTAATGCACAGAGCATGGGAAATAAACATGACGAACTCCATCTTTTAGCACAACACCACAAATATGATATCATAGGCATCACTGAAACCTGGTGGGATGACTCCTATCGCTGGAATGTAGACATCAAGGGCTATAACCTCTTTCACAGAAACCGAACAAAGGGGAGAGGAGGCGGAGTAGCCTTATATGTCAAAAGCTGTTATGCTGCAGAAGAGATGCAAGACAGCAATCCGGGAAACCAGCTTGAAAGCATCTGGATAAGAATCAAGGGAACTGGGACTCAAAAGATCTTGTTGAAGGCATCTACTACAGACCTCCAAGCTAGGGGAAAGAATTTGATGAAATCTTCTGCCAACAGTTGACCAAACAGGCACAGAGAAGAGATGTACTAGTCATGGGCAATTTCAACTATCCCGATATTTGCTGGAAAACAAACCCGGCCAAGAGTACAAAGTCCAACAAATTCCTCCCTTGCCTTGCAGACAATTTCATGGTCCAGAAGGTAGAAAAGGCAACAAGGGGATTGGCTACTCTTGATCTCATCCTAACAAATGCAGAGGACCTGATCGATGCGGAGGATCCTTAGGAGCAAGTAACCATGTGCTCCTACAATTTGAGGTACAAAGGAAGGCCGAAACTAAGACAAGTCAAACCCACATTTTGGACTTTAGGAGAGCTGATTTCCGAAAAATGAAGGAAACACTGAGCAGCATTCCGTGGACACAGATACTAAAAGACAAGAGAGTTACGGATGGATGGGAGTTTCTCAAGAGTGAAATACTTAAGGTGCAATTGCAAACGTGCCAACAAAGAGAAAAAATACGACAAGTGCAAGGAAGCCAGAATGGATGTCCAAAGAACTTCTAACTGTGCTAAGACACAAAAGAGACATGCACAAGAAGTGGAAAAAGGGAGAAATCACCAAAGAAGAATTCAAACAAATAGCCAACACCTGTAGGGAAAAGGTCCGCAAGGCTAAAGCACAAAACGAGCTCAGACTTGCCAGGGACATTAAAAACAATAAAAAGGGCTTCTATTCTTATGTCAGTAGAAAAAGGAAAAACAAGGAGGCGGTAGGACCTCTTCGAGGAGAAGATGGGGCAATCCTGACAGGGGATAGGGAAAAGGCAGAACTACTTAATACCTTCTTTGCCTCGGTCTTCTCACAAAAAGAAAGTCATCTTCAACCTCAGCAAGATGGAGTGGATGAGGGATTAGAGGACATCCAACCCCAAATTGGGAAACAAGTCGTCCAGGAATACCTGGCCGCTCTAAATGAGTTCAAGTCCCCAGGGCCAGATCAACTACATCCAAGAGTACTGAAGGAACTAGCGGAAGTCATTTCGGAACCATTGGCAATCATCTTTGAGAGTTCTTGGAGAACGGGAGAAGTTCCAGCAGATTGGAGGAGGGCCAATGTGGTCCCAATCTTCAAGAAGGGAAAAAAGGATGACCCAAACAACTACCGTCCGGTCAGCCTCACGTTGATACCGGGCAAGATTCTGGAAAAGATTGTTAAGGAAGCGGTCTGCAAACACTTAGAAACAAATGCAGTCATCGCTAATAGTCAACATGGATTTATCAAAAACAAGTCATGCCAGACTAATCTGATCTCTTTCTTCGATAGAGCTACAAGCTGGGTAGATGCGGGGAAATGCCGTGGATGTAGCGTACCTGGATTTCAGTAAGGCCTTCGACAAGGTCCCCCATGACCTTCTGGCAAGGAAACTAGTCCAATGTGGGCTAGGCAAAACTACGGTGAGGTGGATCTGTAATTGGTTAAATGGACGAACCCAGAGGGTGCTCACCAATGCTTCCTCTTCATCTGGAAAGAAGTGACGAGCGGAGTGCCGCAGGGTTCCGTCCTGGGCCCGGTCCTGTTCAACATCTTTATTAATGACTTAGATGAAGGGCTAGAAGGCAGGATCATCAAGTTTGCAGACGACACCAAATTGGGAGGGATAGCCAATACTCCAGAGGACAGGAGCAGGATTCAAAACGATCTTGACAGATTAGAGAGATGGGCCAAAACTAACAAAATGAAGTTCAACAGTGACAAATGCAAGATACTCCACTTTGGCAGGAAAAACAAAATGCAAAGATACAGAATGGGGGATGCCTGCCTCGAGAGAAGTACGTGTGAAAAAGATCTTGGAGTCCTCATGGACAACAAGTTAAACATGAGCCAACAATGTGATATGGCGGCAAAAAAAGCCAATAGGATTTTGGCCTGCATCAATAGGAGCATAGTGTCTAGATCTAGGGAAGTAATGCTACCCCTCTATTCTGCTTTGGTTAGACCACATCTGGAATATTGTGTCCAATTCTGGGCACCACAATTCAAGAGAGATATTGACAAGCTGGAATATGTCCAGAGGAGGGCGACTAAAATGATCAAGGGTCTGGAGAACAAGCCCTATGAGGAGCGGCTTAAGGAGCTGGGCATGTTTAGCCTGAAGAAGAGAAGGCTGAGAGGAGATATGATAGCCATGTATAAATATGTGAGAGGAAGCCACAGGGATGAGGGAGCAAGCTTGTTTTCCTTCCCTGGAGACTAGGACGCGAACAATGGCTTCAAACTACAAGAGAGGAGATTCCATCTGAACATGAGGAAGAACTTCCTGACTGTGAGAGCCATTCAGCAGTGGAACTCTCTGCCGCGGAGTGTGGTGGAGGCTCCTTCTTTGGAAGCTTTTAAACAGAGGCTGGATGGCCATCTGTCAGGGGTGATTTGAATGCAATATTCCTGCTTCTTGGCAGAGGGTTGGACTGGATGGCCCATGAGGTCTCTTTCAACTCTTTGATTCTATGATTCTAGGAGCCACCTATATGGAAGCACTCCAACTCCACATTCTAGTCTATTTTACTGTAAAGTCACTTCCTTTAGATTCATTTCTGCCTGCACACCAAAAGACCTTACTTAGTCCCCTTCTACACTACCATATGTCCCAGGATCTGATCCAATATTATTTGAACTGAATTATAGGAGTCCCCACTACAAGATAAGCAGATATTCTGGCATCAGATCTTGGGATATAGGGGCAGTGTGGAGGGAGCCTTAATCCGCTTTCACTCTAGATCCAGCTTGTTCAATGGGTACCTTTTGGCTGGATTTATTTACAACATTGAAAGCGTTCAGTAAGCAGTTACTAACTAGCTAAGGAACACTCTGATCTTCAGCCCCTTTAAACCAAGGTATTAGGATTTAAGGTGTTTTGCAATTTCCATCTATGTATGAGCTGCTGTAAGAAAAAACAAGGTGTGAATGCACTAAAACCACCACCAATGACTTTGCTACCAGTGCAACTTCTGTTTATGAGTATTTACTCTGAAAAAAGGAATGGTGGAGACTTTGATGTTTTTGCTGCAACTACAACAAAATGAGTGAATGTGAAATCTGAGGATGATTTTTTTTCAAAAGAAAAATCCAAGCACTATTTTAATATAAGAAGTTAAAGGCTTGTCCACAGATATAGAGTGAAAAATCTTGCCATTCTTTCCATATTCTTTGAGACAGGTTGTCATGTTTTCTCTTACCCCTGTGAAAGGTCTTGTCTCCAGCAAAGACAGGGATAGCAAGCATTATTTTTGTTCTTATTGTTTTTTCTAAATCTTTTATGAAACTATCTACACAAAACTAGTGTAGCTAAATGTGCACAAAAAACAGTGAGCACAAAAAAGTCACACACGCGCACAAATCACCAATTTTGAATAACAACTGAGAAGTTATAATGATCATGAATAATTGGGCATTCAGTAGCACATTTGAAATACCAATGAAAAATAGATTATGAACCCAAATCAGATCACTCCATCTAGAAATCACTGTTCACAGTGTCACTATCTGCATAACATTAAACAAAATACAACAAATGATCAGTTGCATGGATTAGCAGTACATCTGGGCTAAATTTATTTTCTTCCTCTGATGGTGAGAGTTTTCAATGCATTCTCTTTAAAGGTAAATGCGAACAAAAGCCCCTGCCTTCTGTCTACAAAGAATATATTTTAAAGATTTTTGTATTGATTTCAAACCTTGCCAAGAAACCCCTGTGATAAGCAATCTGCTAAGATAAAAATAAATGGACAGCTGACAAAAGCCATAGATATACAGAAAGGGACTAGACAAGGCTGTCCACTTTCGCCATTACTATTCATTTTGGGATTGGAAATTTTGAGTATAAGAATTAGAGATGACAATGAAATTGAAGGGTTCAAAGTAAAAGGCCAGGAAATTAAAATCAGAACATATGCAGACGATATGGTTTGTATTTTATCTAATCCAACACAGAGCGTTCCAAAATTATTAGAGGTAATCAAATTGTATGGAGAGGTTTCGGGTTTTAAAATAAATAAAGATAAATCCAAATTTATTACAAAAAATTTAGACACTAAAATTATTAGGAAATTAGAGGAAGCGGCTAACTGTAAAGTAGTCCCGAAGATAAAATATTTGGGAATAACTATCACAAGCAAGAACATCGACTTGTTTCAAAATAATTACGTGAAGACATGGTCGGAGATCAAAGGAAATTTGAACAATTGGCAGAAGCTACCATTAACATGGCTGGGCAGGATTGCAATTATTAAGATGATGATACTTCCCAAAATGCTTTTCTTTTTTCAAAGCATAGCTATTATTAAAGGGACTAAAATTTTCAATTTGTGGAAGAGGGATATCATGAATTTCATTTGGGCAGGGAAAAAAGCCAGGATTGCTTACAAAAATTTAATTGATACCAAAGAGAGGGGAGGACTAAATTTACCAGATTTAAAAACCTACTATGAGGCCGCCTGCATGAGCTGGCTCAAAGATTGGATACAATTCCGGAACATAAATCTACTAAATTTAGAAGGACATGGAATCAGATATGGATGGCATTCTTACCTCTGGTATGAAGGAGAGAGATTAAATAAGGCATTCAATAAACATGTAATTAGGGGAAGCTTAATAGATGTTTGGAAAAGATACAAATTAGGGATGGAACCCAAAACACCCCTGTGGCTGAGGCCAATAGAAGCCATTGGGAGACCCATCTGCAAGGATGATGTCAGAACATATGGGGAACTACTTATCAGGTCCAATGGCCAATGGGCACTGAGGGGAAAAGACGAATTGGGTATTAAAGATTGGTTCCGATATCATCAATTATACGAAAGATTCAAAAAAGACGAGAAGAGGGGATTTGCTTCAAAAAAAATCAGATCTGGAAACTATATTAGATAAAGGGGAAAAAGGCTTAATAGCCAGATTATACAAATATATTCTACACTATAATTTGGAAGATAATCGTGTTAAAACCCCCATGATCTCATGGGCAAAAGATTTAGGGAGAAGCATAGATTTTGACATCTGGGAAAACCTGTGGAACAATGGATTTAAATTTACAGTGGCAGCTTCAATTAGAGATAACGTATATAAAATGTTCTACAGATGCTACATAACTCCAGACCTCCTAGCCAAAATGGACAATTCACAAACAGGTTCCTGTTGGAGGTGCAAAAGAAAGAAAGGGACTTTCTTTCACGTATGGTGGTCGTGCGAACTGGTGCAGATCTATTGGAAAAGAATAATAAAGGAAACAAATAAAATGATTTACAACAAAGTAAAAAAGAACCCAGGGATGTGCCTATTAGGGATATTCAGAGATAGATTAGAACAACCAGAGAGAGAAATTTGTTTGTACAGCTTTGCGGCTGCACACATTACAATTGCCAAAGATTGGAAAGGGGAGAAAACATTAAGAATCAAAGATTGGAAGGATAAACTGTGGGATTATGCACAGATGGCTAAGATTTCTAGCAATTTGAAATATGAAAATAATGAAATATTTGAAAGAAACTGGAAGCTGGCCTTAGCATACTTGACGGGAGAGCTAAAGAAATAAAAACAAGAGGAATTTATTGAATTACAAGTATAGAGGGTTAAATAAGTTGTGCATAAATCCTGCGTGGATTAGTGACGGAAGTCAAGGTGGTGGGTAGCACTGGGGTGGGTGGAGGGGTAACTGTATGGAGGGCTGTTTGTGTATGTGCGTTTGTTTGTGTAGGTGTATATTTTTTTGCAACATATATGGTTGGTGTATTATTTTTTCGAAATAAAATTTAAAAAAAATTAAAAAAAGAAAGTACACAACAACAACAACAACAACAACAACAACAACGCCCAACAACAACAACATCCACTTACATTTATAAAGCTTTGCAGCCTGACATCTTTTAACAGGAAGACAACTAGTTTTCACCACTGTAAGCAGTTGAAACTTATTTTGACAATTCACGGTCGAGTATTGTCCTTTAAAAGGTTGTTGTCCAATAATTCTTAGAAAAGCCAAGAATCTTATTTGGCTTGCCATTACTATCAATAAACGTGTGTGTTCCAGTTTTGTTTCTGCACCACCAAAATGCTATACATCACGATCTTCAGCACATTTACTGTAATCATTGCTAATTTTCAAAGAAGTGAACTATTCTGGTGCACAGTGACCTCCTGTGGAATATACTGCAAGCACCAATTGTGAATGCTCCTATAAGAAAGCCCTGTTACAAAACCAGGCCCCTGCTTCAACTGCATTCTGAAATTTCAATTTGAAATTGGGTGCACTCCAGCTTGAATTGCACAAATTCTAAACCATAATTTAGCATTAAACGTATGAACTTCTCTAAACCCATGTCTTGGGATCATGTTGTTTTTCCTCATCATTCCTCCAACAGTAAGGTTGCTTGCTATATATATATCATAATTCAGCATTGCTTACACTGATTCCTGGCTTGTTTTGCATGTATGAGCAATGAAACATATTTAAAAAATAAATTCTAGGCAATTGATTAAAAAGCCAGCTTGCAATAATGGGTTGATGAATCTGGCCTCCTTAATAAAGTCAGGTTTATTTTAAACCACAACTCCTGGTTCCTGCAAATGACAGCAAATCAGGAACAGGAAATACAAAACTGAGTCATAGGTTATTTTTCATTTGGGCTTCATAAAAGGTAGAGATAGGAAAGAAAAAACTTAAGGTGACTCAAGTTTGCGTAGACTTGGGCACAGAATGCTGAATTGTTCTTTAGCACTGGATGTGACATGGCCCCATAAGTATGTAAGAAACTCCAGCAGTAAGCATTATTAAGTTATTATATGGGAGATGGGCATCCTGTACTTAGTGTTGTCTCCAGAATATAAAGTTTCAATTTATGTGGAAAGTTTTTTTAAAAGTACAGAAGCATACAATGGAGTTACATTCTTAAACATAATAAGTCTTGAACATTCCAGTTTTCAGCCCAGTCCTACCTCTGAGTGCTGCATTGCAACTGTGGCAAAAGAATCCTTGCTGAAACTGCAACAGCTACTATAGCATGCTTAAAATGGATCAGAGTTTTCCAGGTTTGTATTATGTTGCAATCACTATTTTCTAATAATTCCCTTCCCTCTTAACATTTCTGCAATTTCAATTATTCTCTGATTGGAAGCCTGCAGGCCTTCTTACAAGCATTTAAAATTCTCATCTAGAAAGCTCCACTAGTGCTTACCAGACTACAAACCCCAGGATTCCATAGAATGTTTCTCTGACCGTTGAAATACTCTGTGTGTGTGTGTGTGTGTATCTATCTATCTATCTATCTATCTATCTATCTATCTATCTATCTATCTATCTATCTCTACTTATCTATCTATCTATCCATCTATCTCACTATATTTCCCCAGGAATGTAATATCACCATTATTAGGCCTAAACTTTAACCCCAAATAAAATTATGCACACTCAGTTCTACAATTCTGAGCTATTCAAAATGATATTCAGTCAGCCTTTGACATTTTCAGATTAATTTTTTATGGATTTGATTATTTGATTATTCGAAGATTTAATTAATGTGTTATTTCTAGGCAACTCTAGATTCTACAGAACAACTCTATGGTCACACTGAATGATCTGTAGATTCCTAGAGGTTAATTTCTCTTGGGTTAATTTTTTATTTATTATTTCCAGCATTTATAGAGGGCCAACTGTAGACACTTCTAAAGAAAAACATAGTTCATCATATAGTAATACATGTAAATTTTCATTCAGCAAGTGAAAATCAGCTTGGTTGCTGTGAGTTTTCTGGGCTGTATGGCCATATTTCTGGGACATGGTCATACAGCCTGGAAAACTCATAGCAATTCAGTGATTCCTGCCACCAAAGCCTTCAACAACATGATAATCAGCTTACTTCTTCACCTCCTTTTGATAGTCTGACTCTGGAAAAAAGAAAGAAAGAGTTTAAAATAGAATGCCCAATTTTAAGAACTTACTAGAAAATAACACCCATATTTTTCATAGTGTTAATCTTGCATTAATATCAGTCACATCAGTGCTTAGAGGGGATTCCGCATACTGGTAGTCAGTCTAGATTAAAGAAAGTAAAAAAATTGGCCCTGGATACAAATACACCACATGAGGAAGCACCTCTTTGGCATATGCATTAAATAGATCATCTAGTTTGCCCCTCATTTTTTCAAACAGAAAGAAGTACTCTTCTAATGTAGACTGTTCTCTTCATTGAATTGAGTGCAAAAAATATTTCATTAGCTATGAAGAAACTCTTATTTCATATGACATGCTTAAAGCACCATGTATGCATGTATGCCTCTCCAAATCACCTGTCATTTTATAATGAATTCCATAGGGTTTTCTTTGGCAAGGAATATTCAGAGGTGGTTCTGGCTGTACCTTTCTCGGAAATAAAGCCTACAGCACCTGCTACTCCGCTGCATAATGGAGAAAGGCAAAGAGTTTCAGAAAAACATCTATTTCTGTTTTATTGACTATTCCAGAGCTTTTGACTGTGTGGATCATAATAAACTGTGGCAAGTTCTTGGGGGTATAGGGATCCCAAGTCACCTCGTCTGTCTCCTGAGGAATCTGTATAATGATCAAGGAGCAACAGTAAGAACTGACTATGAAACAACAGACTGGTTCATGATTGGGAAAGGCATGCAACAGTGTTGTATACTCTCACCCAACCTATTCAACTTGTATGCAGAACACATTGTGCGATGTGTGAGGCTTGATGAATGCCAGGCTGGGGTTAAAATTGCTGGAAGAAATATTAACAACCTTAGATATGCAAATGATACCACTTGGATGGCCAAAAGCGAGGAGGAGCTGAGGAGCCTTCAAATCAAGATGAAAGATGAAAGAGCAAAAGCTGCGTTACAGTTAAACATTAAAAAACAAGATTATGACAACCGGACTGATTGATAACTGGCAAACAGAGGGAGAAAACATGGAGGTAGTGACAGACTTTGTATTTCTAGGTGCAAAGATTACTGCCGTCGCAGACTGCAGCCAGGAAATCAGAAGACGTTTACTTCTTGGGAGGAGAGTAATGACCAATCTCAATAAAATACTGAAGAGTAGAAACATCATACTGGCAACCAAGATCCGCATACTTAAAGCAATGGTATTTCCTGTAGTAACCTATGTATGTGAGAGCTGGACCGTAAGGAAGGCTGAGCAAAGGAAGATAGATGCTTTTGAATGGTGGTGTTGGAGGAAAATTCTGAGAGTGCCTTGGACCGCGAGAAGATCCAACCAGTCCATACTTCAGGAAATAAAGCCTGACTACTCATTGGAGGGAAGGATATTAGTTGCAAAGATGAAGCACTTTGGCCACATCATGAGAAGACAGGAAAGCTTAGAGAAGACAATGATGCTGGGGAAAATGGAAGGAAAAAGGAAGAGGGGCCGACCAAGGGCAAGATGGATGGATGGTATCCTTGAAGTGACTGGCTTGACTTTGAAGGAGCTGGGGGTGGTGACGGCTGACAGGGAACTCTGGCGTGGGCTAATCCATAAGGTCATAAAGAGTCGGAAGCGACTGAATGAATAAACAACAACAACAAACTTGCTTAAGGATCACCATACTCATTGTCTATTCAAAGGATCAAATGGGATCTGGTGCCTTTAGTTACCATTACTTTAAAATTTAAAAAACACATAAAGCCTCAAATGCCTGTTATCTGACTTTTCCCAGTTCCTCCATTTTTCAAGGTAGCAAGCAAACATTCCTAACGGCAGTCGTAGTACTTCTACCTCTGCACCAAAGACAAGAAGAAAGGCAAGGTTGTGCCATGGGGAGGTGACAGCAGGACAAGCAGATTGGTATTGTGAGAATAAAGATGGGGAGATGGCACAAATAATAACAGAGGGTTTTTTTCCTCCTCCATGAAGCACCAGGAGAGGTTTACCTTCTCCTTATTAATAGAAAATGATTTTTTTCTGGATATCCATCAAAATGCATGATATTGACATAACAAGCAGGAATAGACTCCTTGTCACTGTAAATATGAGTGATTATATTATGGTACCAGTAGTTTTACTCAGCTTTCTCCCTACCCGTTAATTCATTTTGTATCATTGTCTATACTTCACAGTTTTTATATAGTCACTGAAAATTAATGTGGTGATGTGGATTAAGCATAGGACTATGTCTCTGGACAACGGTTTTGAATCCCCACTCGGCTGTGAAAACCCACTCGGTGACCTTAGGCAGGTTATGGTCTTTCAGCCTCAGAGGAAGACGATAGCAAACCTCTTCTGAACAAACCTTGCCAAAGAAACCCCTGTGACAGGTCCACTTAAGGATCACCATAAGTTGGACACTACCTGAAGGCACATAACAACAACCACGTTTTTTCTGAGGTGCTTTTCTTTGGAAACCTGGACTCCATTTTTATTTTGTTAAGGTCCTTGAAGACCAGAATGTAGAAAGGGCTCATTTGGATGTCACAGTCTTTCATCATGTTCATGCATCCAGGTAGGCTTCTGCTGTACTGGACATCCCATAGCACAAGACAGAACTGGAGACATTATTTTATGGGTTGCAATACTGGAATATCTGGCAATTCACATTTCATTCAATGGGGCTCAGTGTCCATAGTTTTCACAACAAAAGGAGATTGGGTTCTGTAGCAGACCAATCTATTGCAAGCCCTCAAATATAACAAATTAACTGCTTGAAGGAAATTAACTGCTTGAAGTAAATAGCCCAGACAACTGGGCCATACCCAGTACAGCAAAAGCAGCATGCTTTGATTATCTTTTTTCTGATTTAAACCCAGTCCCCATACCCAACAGTGCTGGAAAGGAAATAGCAGGTAAATTAAATTCCAAAATGTTATTATACTAAACTATAATGGTTTGATGGGGGAACAATATTAATGCATTTTATGAGCAGGTAAAGCGCATTGCTTTTTCAACTCCTAATAGCAATTGTTACTCCATTCAAATCATTGCTGGTCATATTGTATCTTACATGCCAATGATGAGGAGTATAATTTGCTTACAAGATAAAATACAAACACAAACCTGACAATGGCATAAACATACCTTCTTTTGGCCAAATCTTTCACTATCTGTAATTGTAAACTTGAAGAAACATAACCATCTCTAGACAGTACACGTACCTTTTTTTCTTTTGCAGCATACAATAAGCAGAATAATGAGGATCACAAGCAGTATAGCCACAATTGGCAACACAACTGCTAAAATTATTGTTCGGATTCGTGCATCGTCATTACCAGATTCTATTAAATAAAAATTAATAAATGTTAAGCAGTACAATAAATTAACATTTTTATAAGCAACATATGTGGTTTCCTATGAATTTTAGTGAATAGCCCATAGGAATTCTTTTCATTCTATTGACTCAAAGACCAATAATGTTTTCCCAATTGAGGTTTTTGGAATTAAATTCCCTTTTATTATTTTTCCTTAATATGATCCTGGATTCATATCCTGATTCATAGTCAAGAGATTATAATTCCAGAATTCATGTTTTGAAAATAGAGATAAATTAAGGTATGTGAGAGAAGAGAAAGAGACAAGAATGCATAGGCATGACCTGACATCTCAGTTTAGATTCTATGTTCTGGTAGTTCATTAGGACTTATTGATCTGGAAGTGCATGCCTATTTAGAAGTAATTTCTACTGAGAATATCAGGATTTACTTCTCGTATTGCAGTCTAAAATGATTTAATCTGAATCCATCCAGAGTGTATAAAATTTACTGCATGTATTTCATCCTAATAGTTCTCTTCAATAATTTTTGTTGTATCTTTAGACCTGCACGCCATGTCAGAGAAGATCAGCAGTTTCATTACAACAGATCCTCATCACATTAGCATTACAGAGCAAAAGGCACCGAGGTTATTAGAACATCAAATATTTGATTTTTCAAATATTTTCCCCCACCACTTTGAGGCAAAAACATGAGCTGTGGTGTAGTCTATTCAATTTGCACTGAAAATTAAAAAAAAATACAGTGTCTAACCATAACATCCCACTGCTATGTCTACCCAAAGTAATTCATTTTCATTGCTCAGAATAAATTTCTGCTCACATTTGTTTTGGATTCATAAGCTGCGCTGTGAATTTTTAAGATAAAATATTTCAGAAATCTCAGTTGAACTGAGATTCCTGAAAGAGAAAAAATGACAGATTGTAGAGACAGAAACAATGAGATTCCATTGGAAAGTATTGTTGCAGAATCCAAAGGTCTGTCCTATAACTAGGGTTATAAAGGTGGTGCATCAGGAAATGTACCTGTGACAGTGATATCCAAACTTTAATTCTTCAGCTGTTTTGTACTTCAACTCTCAGAAACCCTAGGCAGCTTAGCCAACAGTCAAGAATTCTGGACTTGAAGTACTAAACCAACATTTGGAAAACACTGAGCTATGATGATGGAGCTAAATCTCCCAATGACTCAAAAATCACTTCAGAAGCCAGCAGTACCAAAACATAGGATTTCCAAGGCACTGATGGTAAGTGAAGAAGTGTCCAGACCTCTTTTAATAGAAAAGCATTTTGCAATAGGCAACCATAGTAAACTCTGTCACAATAGCTTGCCACAAACCCATTCTATGATTCTCTTGCATGCATAACAGATTGCATTAAAATATACAAATGATTTGGAAATGAAACAAGAAGTGCCCTGATAAGATATTCACTTACTTTCATGTTGATACACAATGACAGCAACAGTTGTACTCTGGGGCCTAGGGAGTGCAACTATGGCAGCTAAGCAAGTCACATTGACACTGGTCATTGGTGTCAGCCTTAGGGTGCTCTCTCCATTGTACAAGCCATTTGATCCTGGGCTCTGACTGGTAATGTAGTTTGAATTGCTTATTGACATATTATTTTCCATCCAGAAAATATATGGGGCTGGAGCCCATCCAAGAGCTTCACAAACTATTTCAATTGTTTGGTTCTCTTTTACACTGAAGTTGTTATCTTTGATACTCAAGGATCCATTAACTGTTTAGGGGAAAAAAGATGGTTTCTTTCTTTGAACAAAATGCTTTTCTTACTTACTATAAAACAATTAACAGGTTTTTTTATCATTTTTTTAATTCTCAAAAGCTCATATTTATTTATGTACGTATTTAGTTAGTTTCACCATAATTAGTGTCAGATGATACTTGTTGATATTGTGTAACCATGCTGAAACATCTCTTTCTTATTGGTTGATTGATTGGCAACATTAACAATGACTAAGTATACAATCAAAGTTACAATTAAAATATAAGTAAAGAAACTAAAGGAAGCAAAGAGAGTGAAAGGAAGGGAGGAAAAGGCATATAACTAAAACACTGTAGGACTTTCACTCTCCAGTACTGGCTATAATGAAAAGAAGATTTTTTTAAAAAAAATCAGTCAAATAATCCTAATAAACATAACCAGAGATTATTAAATAGTTAGATTTCTTATTGTTCAAAAATCAATAAAGAGTTTCCAGACTGGAAAAATATCAATTGGCAAATCTTTCAAAACCCATGTTAATTTGACAATTAGGGCCAAGTCAGTGACTTTAGCAATCCATTCTTCCATTATCAGTGCTTCATTCAATTTTCAACTTCAAGCGAACAATATTCTTGCTGCTGTTGTATCAAAGAAGTAATTCATATTTATTATCTAGTCCTTTATCTATACATTCTAACAAAAACATTTTTGATAAAATTTAGAAAACCTACAGTTTTTCAATGAACTTTTTTTTTACTGTGTTGTATCGTGCCTTTAGCCATTAAGAGAGGCGGGTAACAAATAAAATAACAACATGTTGCTCAGAGCTGCCCTGGCTTAATCTGAGTTTTCATGACTGGAGGCAGTTGTAACATGAGGCTTTCTTATCTTGACATCCCCAACATTGGTTTGAAACACTCTGGGACATACTTGACAGCTGGAATTAAATACTGCTTGTACACCAAATTTGCAATAGAAAATAAATTTTATGTCTTTGGACTACATTTCCTCTCATATATCTACATGGATTATCATGTCCAAATTGTTGTGCCCACTCAGTTATGTACTCTTTTATAGATTCATTTTCTGTCACTAATTTCAATGGTCATTACCTTTCACAAATCTGAGTAAAACTACTTTTATTTAACCTCTATGGCATAATTTGTCTTCTCTTAATCAAATAAATTGTATATAAGCAAACCAGTTAATATATTTCCCTTCCTTAATAAACATCTGTTTTGGTTTCAACTTCCAGGTAACTTATCAAAATACAAAAGATCTCCGTAAAACAACCAACCACACAGGGCATCCTATGGGTGGTTCAAATGAGGACCTCCATCTGTTGGATCAAAAATGTTCTATTTCTGGAAAGGAACCTGATCTTATGCCAGACTAGAACCAGAATAAGAAAGTTTCTAGATTACTATGGGAAGGAAATTTTCAAAGAAAAATCTGTTCCCCTGGTATCCCCACCAATATTCTGCCTTTATTTAGTCAATAAAGGTGGAGATGAAGTGGTAGATCCACCTAGTTGCTTTCCCCTTCACTTCTCAGAAGGACAAGGGCAGCTGGCAGATATTACACAAGAACTTGAGATGTGTCAGAGCTCTCCTGGTGCCAAACGTTTCAGAGAGCTCCTATTCAATTTGGAGCACTTGCAGAAGGAGCAAGTCTACAGCAAATAATCCACTGGTTGCCCTAGACCTGGTTGATACTGAAAACAAATGTATGGAATTAAAGTTAAGACCTTGAAACACAGTTCTTCTACATGAGTGAAGCTCAGAGAGAAGAGAATAGATAAAACATTTGGGCTAGAAAAAGAGGGGGAGGGGAATACAAAATTTTGAGTAAGGCTGGAAACAGTGCTGTACATAAAAGGACTTGCTCTTCCTATGTATACAAAAATCAAATCATTCAAATGTTAAGTCTCAAATATATCTCATCCTGAGAAGGGGAGTGTGAACATGTTATACAATGTTATACTATGTGTATTCAGTTAATGCCAGCTACTTTTCCATGAAAACTGATAAGGATTTTTAATCCTGATGGCAATTATCTGAATTAACTTGCAATTAGTACTGGCAACAGTGAGATTATATAAAGTGGTGGAAATACCTGAATGTTTTGAGATGCAAACAAAATCAGTAGCTGTAGGGCCATTTCCTTGAGGATTATCTATGTTAGTCCTTTGCAGCCAAACAATTAATCTTGAGACAGTTTAAAGATTGGCCTAAATCCAGTTGTTAGATCTGGTTTACACCAACTGAATCAATGATAATTTGGTAAGTCCACACATATTTTGTGCATAGCAATTATATCTTTGATTATACCATTATGGAAATCCAACTGGGAGTAAGTCCCAAATCACTCAGTGCAGTTTACTTAGGAATGAGTTGTACAAAATACATACATTGTGTCAGAAGATGTGTTGTGGACTAGAGCCTGCTTCATCAAATGCATTAAGTGCAGCATCTTCAGCTAGCATACTGTGATAAATTTGAATCATTGTGATCAAGTTCTCGATTGTAGTTGTGTTTTGTGTGCTTTGGCTAGATTAGATTGCATGACTACTATGTTTTACTTAAAAATAATATTATTTTTTTCAGAGAGCTCCTATTCAATTTGGAGCACTTGCAGAAGGAGCAAGTCTACAGCAAATAATCCACCTAGAGACCACATGGTCAAAGGTAATTGATGAAATTAAATTAGAGGTTTAACAAGAAATTAAAAAATATACTAACAGTTTTTATTATTTATCTGAACATTAGTATGGGCTGGGCTTTAGCGCAGCAGGTTAATCACCAAGCTGCAATAAATCTTGCCAACTGGAAGGTTGACTGTTCAAATCCCTGGTCAGGATGAGCTCCTGACCTTTAGCTCAGCTTATGCCTACCTAGCAGTTTGAAAACAAATGTGAGTAAGAACTGCATCAAAGTGGGGAGATATTTAGGCATGGCATTTTGATCAGAAAAAGGAGGATGTTTATGAACAAAGAAAGCTCTTCAGCTCTGTCTGTTGCCTGTCTTGTCATTGTAAAATTGGCATTGAATGTTTGCCATATATGTGTTCTGTGATCCGCCCTAAGTCCCCTTTGGGGTGAGAAGGGTGGAATATAAATACTGTAAATAAATAATGTATTTATTAATGAGAAATAAAAAGACATTCAATTCTCTGGGTTCAATTTGGGTAAGAAAAGCAGGGGAGATTGGTAAGGGACTGTTTGGGACAAGAATCAAAGTGAACCATGAAAAGACCTTGATTCCTACCCATTTTAACTTATACAGACTGTAGAAGCAATGATACAGCATAGAATGTTAGCGAAGTGGAAAGATATTTTAGTTGCATGTTTCACAACTGAAATAATGAACATGGCTATCTCAAGTAGGAAGGGTTGAAAAGGCCATTAACTTTCTGGCTGCACCACTATGGATAGCTATCTGAAAAACAAAGATGCTGAAATTCTATGAACAAATTAACATGTGTATGCCACAAAAGAGATTTAGAGAGGTCACAGATCTACTGTTTCCTCTTATTTCATTTTTGCTTCACAGTTTATATTTTCTCCATTCAATTCCCTAGATATTGGGAAATCTGACTTGACCACAGTGGTCCACGCTCTTGTTACATCCCAAATAGACTACTGCAACGCGCTCTACGTGGGGCTGTCTTTGAAGACTGCCCAGAAGCTTCAATTAGTCCAACGGTCAGCAGCCAGGTTGCTCACCGGAGCAGCATACAGCTCCTCTGTTACGCCAGCTGCACTGGCTGCCAATCTGCTACCAAGCACACCTGAGTCAAAGAGCTGGTTTTAACCTTTAAAGCCCTAAATGGTTCTGGCCCAGACTACCTGTCTGAATGTATCTCCTGTCATCATGAAGCTTAAGATCATCTGGAGAGGCCCTGCTCTTGATCCCATCACCATCGCAAATGCGATTGGTGGGGACGAGAGACAGGGCCTTCTCAGCAGTGGCCCCCTGTCTGTGGAATTCCCTCCCCAGAGACATCAGATTGGCCACCTTCCTCCTGTCCTTCAGAAGGAAACTCAAGACTTGGCTGTGGGACCTTGCATTTGACCAATGAATAGTGGCTAGTGAGAAGAAGACATAAGCAAAACATAAGTGACAATGAATTGACCTGGACTTTGATTTTAACTGGTGTGTTTTAACAACTGCTAATTTAATGTTCTGTTTTAATGAATGTGTTGATTGTTTTATCATTGTGATGGCACCAAATGGTGCTTGCTGTGAAGCCACCCTGAGTCCCCCTTTGGGGATGAGAAGTGTGGGGTACAAGTATATGAAATAAATAAATAAACGTGTGCTAGATGTGCCAGCTGAAGATGACAACATATCTCTACCAAAGTAATCTTTAGTCCACAAAAACCTATAGCACAAGAAAAGAAGGTTGATTTTTATAGTTTCATGGGATTCTCGCAAATTTTGAAGTAATCAAGCACTGAATAATAAATAGTGAATGTGAACAAATCTTGCAGTCAGCCCAAAGAATTAAAAACATGCACACAGAAGAGTGACTGCTTATGAGAAGGTCTACACACCTTGTACAGAAAGATATGCATACATATTGTTCTGGTCATTCTGGATGCTGCATCTTACTTGCCCAGAATCAGTTAGTTGGACATCGGCAATCATTAACTCTGAGGTAAAGGTGGAACCACTTGCATGACCTTTCTGACTGAATGGTGGTGAACCATAAAATGTTCCATTCGATATTACAGTCAATTTAGGATCTCCATGAAAAAGCCATATCAAAACGTTCCATCCCTCTGACACAGTACAATTAAATCGGGCTATTGAGCCAACAAGAACTGTTTGGTTTTGGGGGCTTTCTATGATGGAGGCACCAAACCCTGGATCTGAAAAGCAGAACAAACAACAATTGAAACTGAACCAACACCAGTGTCAATAAAGGCGTCAGATTTCCCTGCAGTACATTGTGATAACAGTTGTAAAATCGGTGTCCATCGGTCTGAATCACCCTTCCTCAACAAAATATATGTTACTGGAATTACTTTTACATTTTCTTATTAAACAAAAAGGACAGACTAACTCAATTTGATTAAACACAATTTCATATTATATGAAGTCTAAACATCTTTTTCTGTTAAACGTGATACAGGAGAGAGTACAATCAACCCTTCATATTTGCTGGAATTAGGGACACAAGACTCCTGCAAAAGTGAAAAAATTAATTTAAAAATGTTTCATTACCCTTGAAGGATAAAGGAAAGTTGACCATAGAACTGCACTGCAGGACCTAGAAATTTCTAGAAAGATGTTCTCTCTAGGACTCAATAAGCCTTCAGCATAATTTCTATGGTCAGCTTTCATTGGATGGTCTAGAACTGTGCTTCCCAACCTATGGCCTTCCAAAGGTTTTGGACTCCATCTCTTACAATTCCTAACAGCTGGTAAGATGGCTGGGATTTCTGGGAGTTGAAGTTCAAAACAACTGGAGGACCAAAGTTTGGGAACCACTGGCCTATAGTAACATCTCTCAAACTATTTTCCGTGGAACTCTAGGATTCCAAGAAAGCATCATAGGATGCTGTGAAATTTTTTTAAAGTGCCAGAATATGCAGATCATATTGAAATTCAATGTACTTCTGCTTTAGAAACAAATATTGAATCTTTTTATTTTTTAACCTACATTATAAAAAGCAACCAGGTAATAGGAGTAAATCAAAGAAGGAACTTTGTGGGTTCACAGTGCTTAGGAACAGAGTTAGGGTTTTGGGTGAAAATCAGGGACAGGATTAGTGTTCTTGGAGCGGGGAGGGCATCTTCTGAAAGATTCTGTTACCAAAAAAGTTTGGGAACCAACTGTCTAGAAACTCCAAGAGATAACATAATAATCAAATGTGTGAATAACCAAATCCTCAAAAGTCAAACTGTTGAGGCCAAGTGCCTCCAAAATCTCTGGTATCTTTTTTTCCCAATCAGACACTAGAGATGCAGATATTTAAAATGCAATGGTTTAATCTGCAGAATACACTACTGGGTGCAAGAGCTCCACATTTTCACTGTTCTCAAAATAGGGTTTTATGGCTGACCATATTAAAGTAGAGTAAACATGCACACACATGCAATCAAACTGCTCCCACTTTCCTTTTGCACTTCTGCCAGCTTCTGCCCTTCTCCAGAGATTCTTGGTTCTCTGTTTTCCAATTCTCCTGCACTTTCCCCCTTCCTGAGCTTCCCCCTCCCATCTCTCTCCTCCATGTCACCTTTCACACACATCTTTTCCCACTGTGCCTGGCCATGCTATCCTTCTCATCCCACCTCCTCCTCTCTCCTTTTCTTAAATTTCTCAATACGTTATTATTGTAAAATTAACACTTATAAAATATTAATATCTTCAAAACCTAGAGAATTTACTACCAGTGATGTAAGTATGATATACTAAACACCAAACCTTTCAAAATTTGGCTTTGAAATCCTGTACAAGAAAATTAATGCAATGGAAATTATTTAAAATGGAAAAAAAACAGAGAATCCAATCATTAGCTCCAACTAAAGCAGACCCTCTGAATTAATAGGAGCTTGGTAAGTCAACTGTTCTATGCAGTATATTGATTCAATGGGCCAGCTCTAATTTATATTCATAATAGGAATCAGGTCTAAATGTCACCCTCCCAAATCATCATTACTTCTATTATTATTTCCCAATGGCATAACAATGACAAAAGTTTTTTTTCTTATCAGCTATACTGTTGAAATAAAATAAGTTTGAGAGCAAAATTTGCCAATCTGTTGCTGGTTGAATCTTGTGATTCTGGAATATGACTGAATAACCATAGACTCAAGCATATTTTAAATGTTTGGCTGAATGGGCCCATATGATGCTGACACTTGGCACCTGTGAGCTGACAGTAGTTAGTTTTATCTACTGTTGTTTTAAAATTGTATTGTTTTGATTTTAACATGTGTTGCCGGGTGTTGTTGTTATACTTTTATGTGACTTGTTTCATACTTTTGTACTGTTTTTACCAGTTGTATGTTATTTGTGCACCCTGGAGTGCTTTGTAAGCTGCCCTGCGTCCCTTTGAAGAGATGGTGGTGGGATATTAATAAAGTATTATTATTATTATTATTATTATTATTATTATTATTATTATTAAATATTAAAACATCCTTTGGAAAGCAGAGTTGGAGTCATTCTTAGACTTAGCTGTGGCTGACCAGGCTGACCAAACTGTATGTTTGCTCCAAACACACAATTTGGAACAATTGGAGGTAGGTTTTGTTTTTATTATAAATGCCAAAATCCCCATGGGATTCCAAAGGCTGAAGTTATAAGGCTCTCGCAGGTTCCTTTCTACTTATTGAAAGACTTGGGAAGCCATATGTTTCATATGGCCACACAACCAGGAGGTGACAATGCAGGATCCTCAGCTTTAAAATGGAGAAAAGCACCTCCCCAGAGCCAGAGATGAGCACCGCCTCCAGAAGCCAGAAATGAAAGGAGAAGCCTCAGCCTTTGTTTTTGTTTGCGTGTCTCATTGTATTTGATTGTAAAGGCAGTGGAAGTCTGTCTATGTATGTAAATGCTGTAACCTGCCCTGAGTACCTAGGGGAGGAGGTCAGAATATAAATAAAATGTGTTGCTGGTGTTGTTGGTGTTATATTGTATTTCATCATATGCATGCATGAACAATTTCCAAATCTATTCTGTACTATTTCAACATGTAGATCTTTAAGAGTTAATTTTTAAAAGTTTGGTGCCCAGTGAAGCTGAATTACTGGCAGTGACTCTAAGCATAATTTATCAAGCTGGAAAAATTGGTATTAAAAAGAAAATACATAATCATCAGAAATATGTGTGTGATCTTTTCTGGAACCAGGGATTGCATAATAGCTTGAATATTCATGGTAACTTATTCCAGAAAACCCCTAATTACTTGGTTATCTTTTGCTAATGATAATAGTTTTAACTTATGACAACATTCTAAGTTGCTATTTATATTTTCCAATAGTTTCAAAGAGATCACTTCTTTTTTCTAAATACAAAATTAAAGTCTATACAATCAAGTGATTATTTTTAATGTTCAAGGACCCTAAAAAATCTCCACATACAGATCTTACATGTGTTCATTAAATAAGCTGAGTAGCTTCTCAGACTGGCATAGACAATAAAGCTGTCTTTTTTGGGACCAGAGTACTGTTACACCCATCTAAAAACTATGGAAGCTATCAGCAATCACATGTACTTTCTAATTTGTTAAAGAGTATATGTATTTTGCATTGATGAAGAAACAGTTTTATTTATGACTAGCCGTCCCCTGCCACAGGTTGCTGTGGACCAGTCTGGTGATCTGGAAAATAAAGTAATTAGAAAGGGTTGGCTTCTAATATATGTAATGTCTTTATGCTTGTGGGTAAACACTATTTCTTGCTGTCTCTTTGTCAGTGTTAATGTGGTGATTGTCTGGTTTGCCTACTCTGGAACATGCAACATATCATTGTCTTTCTCTAGGGGTCCCTTTCAAATCTATGCTACTATGTCTGTGTGTGTGTGTGTGTGTGTGAATCATATCTATCTATATCTATGGCTGGGTGGCTCTTTGTTGGGAGGGCTTTGATTACGTTTTCTTGCCCTGGTGAAGGGAGTTGGAGTGGCTGGCCTTAAGTATTTTCTGTTGGTCATGGGGGTTCAGTGTGGGAAGTTTGCCCTAATTCTGTCGGTGGTGGGGTTCAGAATGCTCTTTGATTGTAGGTGAACTGTGAATCCCAGTGACTACAACTCCCAAATGTGAAGGTCTATTTCCCCCAAAATCCATCTCTGTTCATATTTGGGCATATGGAATATTTGTGCCAAGTTTGGTCCAGATCCATCATTGTTTGAGTCCACAGCGCTCTCTGGATGTAGGTGAATTACAATTCCCAAACTCAAGGTCAATGTCCACCAAATCCTTCTAGTGTTTTCTGTTGGTCATGGAAGTCCTGTTATGCCATGTTTGGTTCAATTCCATCATTGTTGGAGTTCAGAATGTGTAAGTTAACTATAAATCCCAGCAGATACAACTCACAAATGACAAAATCGCCTTATTTTGAGTGATAGTCACTCCTTGGGTTAGTAGGTGTCTTGTGGCCAAGTTTGGTGGCAATTCATCCAGTGGTTTTTGAGTTATGTTAATCCCACAAACAAACATTACATTTTTATTTATATAGACTAGCTGTCCCCTGCCACGTGTTGCTGTGGCCCAGTTTGTGTATATGTGTTTTGTGTGTTTGTGTGTGTGTATATATATATATTTGTGTATTCATATGTGTACGTGCATATTGTGTATACGTGTGTGCTTATCTATATGCATATTTCTGTGTATATATGTGTGTATGTATGTGTATATGTACATGTGTGCGCATGTGTGTATATATGTGTGTGTGTGTGTATGTGTGCATGTGTATATGTATATGTGTGTATATAAGTATATTTGTGTGTACATATGTATATGTATATATGTGTGTATGTATATGTATGTGTGTATATGTGTATATTTGTGTATGTTTGTGCATATATATACATGTGTGTATGTGTATATGCATGAGTGTATGTGTATATGTATATATGGTGTATTTTTTAGTTTTTAAGTCTGTTCCGCTGGGGTTGTGTGTGTGTGTTTAGGGTTGATGGACACTCGTTGGACTGTTAGGTGTATTGCGTCCAAATTCCATTTTTCAATTCAGCCAGTGGTTTTTGAGTTGTACCCGGCCACACGTTGCTGTGGCCCATTGTGGAGAAATGGCAAATAAAGAAAAGAGGAAGAGCTGGTGTCTATACTATCAATACACAACTGAAGTGGCGAAGTGTCAACCTAAGATAGGCCCATTTCAGTCTCCTCAAGGCCAAAGGGTTATATGGATGTGTGGAAGGGCCCTGGGTTACCTGAGTCCATACTGCCATATAACCCAGTTCAAAGAGATTATATAGGTATTATTATTGTTGTTGTCATTATAGACATATAGATATTATTATAGGCATAAAGATATTATTATATATACAAATATTATTATTAAAACTATATAGGTATTAGTATTATAGATGTTATTTATTTATTTAATTATTTCATATTAAAAGCATTGCATACATTAGTATAAATGATAAAAAATAGAAGGAGCATAAGGTTCAATATCTTTCAAGCAAAAACGGGCAACAGATGTATGGATATTATTACAGACCTATAGATATTATTATAGGCATATAGATGTTATTATTTTATTGTTATTTTTATAGATATTATATAGCTATTATTATTATTATTATTATAGATGTATACATATTATTATATGTGTATATAGATTTTATTATTATTATAGACATAGATATTATAGGCATATAGGTATTATTGTTATAAATGTACAGATATTTTTGACAGATATTATAATTATAGAAGTATGGATATTATTATAGACCTACAGATGTTATTATAGGCATATAGACATTATTAGAGATATTATGATAGAAATGTAGATATTATTGTTATAGACATATAGATATATGTCTATAACAATATACAATATAGAGATATATTGTTATAGGCATATAGTAAAGTAAGTAAGTAAAATAAAGTAAGTAAAAAAGACATATAGATATCATAGACATATATATTATTATAGAGTGATAGATATTATTATAATAGATATATAGATATATATTGTAGATATATTATAGCCCAGGGTTGCTGTAAATTAAAAATGGATGGCCATCTTTTGGGAGTGTTTTGATTGTGCCTTCCTGGACAGCCTTTCCTAACTCACAGAGTGTGCCTTTTTGTCCTTTCTTTGAATACTGGACTTCATTTCCCAGAATTCATTCCCATAACTCAGTATGGGTGAGCTTTCTGGGCACACACACACACACAATCCCTCCTCTGTGGGTTCCCAGCAGCCCAGTGGACAGGCAAGAAGGAAAGGAAAGGAGGGAGATCTGGAGGAAGGTGTCCCCCCCCTCTCTCTCTGTCCCTCCTTCCCTCCCCCCCCCTCTCTCTCTGAATCCTCTCTCATGCCATCTCTCTCTCTCTCTCTCTCTCTCTCTCTCAGCGGTTGGGTTTTTTTTCCTCTTCCCTCATGCAGGAGCGAGGGGCGGGGGAGGGTGTTCTTTTAACACGGGCTCTGTATATGCATTTAGCTTTGTGGGGGGTAAGTTCTTTCCGGTTTATTATTATTATTATTATTATTATTATTATTATTATTATTATTATTTGCGTGAAGGACATACATTGCTTTGTTTGGAGTCTTGTGTCCAAATTTGGCCGCAATTCACCCAGTGGTTTCTGAGTTCTGTTAATCCCACAAACAAACATTACATTTTTATTTATATAGATGAAACACTGTAGGAGGGAATGTATATCCCACTATAAATGTGGAGCAAATGCACACACACATTCCTGTTTGGAAAGCAATGACATGATGGCTTACAAGTGATTTTTTTAGTAATGCCTACACAAAGAGCTTACCAACATAAAACATTGCAATATGGAAAGTTGCTCCTAAACATTTGTGCCTGAAAATGAACCAGTAAGTCAAATTTCAATTATAAATGCACCCCCCCCCCCACCCACACACACAGTTAAAACATTTTCACTGACACAATAGGCTTTCTTCAAAAATATGCTTTACTTGCATTCACCTTCCAGTGGCCAATCACAAAACAAAGCATGCATAATGAGATACACACAGTTCAGAACATCATTTGCTACAACAAACATGTTTTTCATCACTTTGGAGAGCATTTTTCCATCCATGTAAAAAGTATCATGTACTTTCATCCTGAGAGTTGAGTCTCTCTTTCAATTCCAAATTCAATATGGTGTTTAACACACAATTCACATAGTGTAACTAAAAAAAATTATTCTGGGGAAACATGATAGAGGAGTCTTAAATCCTTTGTCCTGGTACCAATCCTAATCCTAATTTCCCAGCACAATTGCTATGGGGTTAAAGTTCCTGTTGCTGTGATAGGGAGAAGGGGTTATAACCCTAATGCCATAGTTCCCCATACTCACATTTTTTTTTTTACAAAACACAGGTATGCAAAGATGAACTACATAATAAATGTCACTTGTACTTTGGCTTTCACTCACTTGGGTTGGCTTACTATCTCTGCAATATAATATATCATCTATAGTTATGACTGCCCTTAAAACTCGATGTGCAATCATTTACTACTTTTTCCGCCTAAAAAAGAAGTAGAGAACTATATAATAGTTTCATTGTCCGAAAATGAAGAATTGGAAATGGAAGAATTCTAGTAACTTTCCAACTGCCTAGATGAACATTTGTTGTGCATCTTAGGAGGAGACTCCAATACTTGTTGCATACAAGAGGGGGTTTCATCAGCTGTTACTTGTAATACAATCAGGTGGCAAGCAACATCTGATGATATACCTTTTTTGTTGATGTGTGCCTTCAAGTCATTTCCAAATTATGACACCCTATAAACCCACTAAAGATGTAGGAGAATTCGCATTTTAGCAATCTTGTTTCAGATTTTTTTTTTCAAGAGAAATACACTACTACTTTATATTTTATGTTAGATCTTTTCTGGATCTATTATTACTATCTAGGGTTTGCAATGACAGATTTGAGATTTTGAGGGGGCACTCCATTTTCAATACACTGCTTTTCTTTGGTTTTCACTTGGTTTTCATTTGCCCTGGAATATAAATAGAGATGTTTCCTGCTAAACCCTGATCTCGATTGTCTCACTTACCTTTATTACATTGTGCCCAAAAGTAGATGCTGTATTTGGTTTTATATTATAAATGCTCATGAACACAAAATTCATCTGATACAGGCATGGACAACTATACATTTCTCCCTATGGGACCTTGAAGAACCACACCCTAAGAAAAACAATCCATTCTTGCCCCCAAATGCCACCACAGTGCTTCTAGAGTAAAAGGTAAAGGTTTTCTCCTGACATTACATCCAGTTGTGTCCGACTCTGGGTGTTGGTACTCATCACCATTTCTAAGTTGAAGAGCCGGCGTTATCTGTAGACACCTCCAAGATCATGTGACCAGCATGACTGCATGGCGCGCCATTAACTTCCTGCTGGAGCAGTACCTATTGATCTACTCACATTTGCATGTTTTTGAACTGCTAGGATGGCAGAAGCTGGGGCAGACAGCGGAAGCTCCTGCCGCTCCCCAGATTCAACCTACAGCCTTTCGGTCAACAAGTTTAGCAGCTCAGTGGTTTAACCTGCTGTGCCACCATAGAAGAATCTTGTTATTCCCAATAGGCTCTGACAAAAGCAAGCCATGGCAGCCTTCCATAGTTCATCTGTTCTTTTTTATGAATAACTTGAATCGTCTTGACCACAATCTGATCTTTGGCCACATTTGTCCTGGTGTTGATCTGTAAAACGTTGGTGGTTATGACAGTGCAAGATACATATTAGCTTTACAGGTTAGACCTGAGTTTCCACTTTGTTGGATTTGGAATTATTCTGGAATGAAGTCAGAATAATTTGGGACAATCCTGTAATGTAGCCCATTTCTGCTATCTGTTCTCCAGGTGGGGGGGAGGCTCTGAGATTGTTTATAGCAGCTAACCTAAAAGCTGGGGCAGTTTGCCAGGATTGTGTCAGTGGTTGACAGGTAACATGAAGCTGTGCTTCTGCATGTTTGTGCATGTGTGCATGCTCTCTCTCCCCCCCCTCTCTCTCTCACACACACACAACATTATTTCATTGCAAATGGCTTGACAGATACTAAACTGATGAGTTATACAAAAGTCCTCACACTACCCATCCAAACATAAATCGGTCCTACCTGACAAAATGGTTAGAAGACTCAAGGTCAATCCAGTCCATTGGAGGCATCTACCCATTTGGCAAGCTCTTTCTTTGAATCTGGAAAAAAAAGGATGCATAGACATTACCATTAAATATATATTGTATCCTGTACTTTTAATCAACATTTCCAAGTTATAGATTCAAAGAAAAAAAACGCTCAAGGATACTGAAAAACACAAAATGTTACCCTTCATTGGGAATAAATACTAGAAGCATCATACATACCAGAATATTATAGGCATTTGATTATAGATGTTCTTGAATATTATGCAGAGATCACAGGATTCAAGACTATGGTGAGAGAATGAGTAAAAAGGAACATGGCTTACTGCTATGTTAAGATATGAAGATGAACTGCCCTCAAAAGTATTGTTCAGTGTTATGCCATAAAATATACAAAATTCCTGTGCACATTATCATACATCTGAGAAATACTTGGAACTCTCCATCTATTATTTATTACTATTTATCACGTCAGAAGCAAATTGAGAATACAGTTAGAATGTATAGAAAAACCACAAATAAAATTAAAAACTTGACATTATACTAAATTTTCTTTGACTAGAAGCTGGCTACTTTGAGTGCCTCCAGTGTCACTATAAGAAGGTCCTCCACCGTGGAAGTGGCAGTGCTCAGGTTGCATTGTAGTAAGTGGTCTGTGGTTTGCTCCTCTCCACACTTAAATGTCGTGGACTCCATGGATTCCAGCTAAGCTACTAAGAAACAGTATTTAGTTGAAGTATTTCTAAGAAAAACGATCTTCACATAAGGAATTCTTAGAAGTGTTCAGGATGAGTCATATCTCAGTCCACAGTCAACTGCCTTAAAAAATATATCTTCATTTAAAAAAACTAGAGTGAGAACCGTAGGACCCACTAGGTCAGGCATCCTCAAATTGTGGCCCTCCAGCTGTTTGGGCCTTCAACTCCTAGAAGCCCTAACGGGCTTGTTCAATTGTCAGGAATTCTGGGAGTTGAAGGTCCAAACAGCAGGAGGGCTGCAGTTTGAAGATGCCTGCTCTAGGTCTTATTACACTGCAAATCCTAGCAGCCCCAACAATGAGGGCCAATACTTGGAGCTACAATCAGGTTCACAGAAAAACCTCCCTTATTGGCTTCTGCTCTTTAAAATATTTCTCACAAAATGACACTCCAGTTATTTAGATATATGTCTACTCTGCTTAAACAAGGCTGGTACAAGGCAGTACTCCCTCTTTCTTGGTACAAGAGAGAACTGCCCACTTACTTGGGTCAGATGCGTGTCAGGTAGAGACAGACTCACCAACAGTTCCACTCTGGGGCCAGAAAAGTAAACAGTAAATAATAAGTAAGTTTCTAGAGTCTTCATTTCTTGTGGGAGAAGGCAGGATTATTTGCACACAGTTTTAGTTTGAGCACAAAAATCAATTTCTACATAATTATTGCTATGTGTTCACCTAAATACCTTAAATATAGCAGATTTTATGTGACCTTGAAAGCTAAGCAGGGTCAGCTCTGGTTAGTACTTGGATGGGCGATGACCAACAAATACCAGATGCTGTAGGCTATATTTCAAGAGAAGGAATGGGCAAAAACACCAGTAAAGGAAAAGCTTTCGTGAATCACCACAAATCAAAAGGTGACTTGACGGTACACACACACACAATTAAATTCAGTTTGAAATGTTAAGCATTTACTAGTGAGAAAGACACATTCTACACAGAGAGACTTACTTCTGGGTAAATATGCATATAATTGCTGTAAATATGCTGTAAAAGATGGCATACAAAATAAGAGACTTTTCCCCCACTTCCTACTTTTTGTTTATTATACTTCCTACTACATACTTCAAATTCCTAATTTGTTAATCTGTAATGTTTAATTACAGAGTTGTAACATCTTTTTGCTAATGTCATTCCTGATCATGGATTCCCCTTGCATAGAACACCTCATTGTCATTCCATACAAAATATAGTAATTCAACAAGAGTTACCTTACCTTTTTGTACTGAAGAACACCGTTTAAAACCCTTGAGAAAATTCCTGGTGGAGACTGTTCTGTTTTTTCCATGCAAATAATTCCTCGTGTTGGCACATAACCACATATTCTGAATAACTCTCCATGGGTTCACCTTTATAATTCATCAGGAAGGTCCAAAAACATTTTGTGCAGCTTTGGTTTTCTGACTGAGCACCTTGTCTATTTCCTATAATATTTTATCTTGTACTAAGATAAGCCTTGTGTTTGGAACTAATGTGCACTCCCTCGATTTGTAATAATTAACAAAAGCTGTCCAAGCAGGAAGTAAAAAGCAGGTACAAAGTTAACTTCAAGCCAATACCCAGGTGAATTAAAGAGACAATGATACTTCATTTCATAACAAGGCAATGGTCAACATCATTCACATAAAGAATAAACTTGAAAGTGAAATGAACTTCTCAATAATGTTTTCCTGATTGCCGCAACATGAAGACATTGAACTGAGGCAGTTTTCATTTTATTGCAATCTCTGTGTGGAAAGAGTGGTTCACTTAAGAAATTCTACATTATAGGTTTTATATTTTTACATTCCCAATAAACGAGGGAAGCATTCTCTAAGGACTTCTTCACATGGCCCTTTTGAGCCATGCCATTGTGCCGGCAATTGCTGGAGAAAAGGAAGGCATGTGGGGTGACTCGTGGCACCCCACGCACCCTTCCACCTTACCACATCACATGATAGAGATGTGGAGAAAGGGTGGCAACGCATGGCAACACACATTGCCCTGCTGCCCTTTCCCCCATCATATGGGGAAAAGGGAAAGAAAATGTGGGTAGTTCCATCAGAGCTATCCAAAATGCTTGTTGATGTATTCCTCCTCATACTGGTGGAGGAAGTGCCTTTTGGGGGTGAGGCCTGATGTGCATTGTGTGATAGTTCACAGCAGGCCCTGTCCTTGCCATGAGACAAAGTGGCAAAACAGGGCAAAAATGCCCCATGTGAAGAGGTGGTAACCCCCTTTTTAGAGCAGAGAGGAATGTATACAGTTCAACAGGCATTTGTTGAAGTGCAGCTCCCACCCATTGCAGTCAGCACAGGCAGTGACAAGGAATACTGGACATTGCAGTTCAAAATATCTGTAAGATTGCACAATTCTTACTTTTAAATTGTCGATTCTATTATTTCAGTCATGCAGCGAATGACTAAAACTTCATTCTCCCCACCCTGGCTCCTTATTCTATGTTTTATAACAGCTACTACATTCCTAATACATTAAAGCAAACAAATGAAGCAAAAAACACAAGTTGTTTGCCACACCTGATTTAAAAAAGAAAAATTCTGAGTGCAGTTAGATCTTGGTACCCACAGGCTCTTTATCCACAGATTCAACCAGCCATACTTGTAATCCCTGGTGTAAATCCCCACAGCAATCCCAGTTCTTTGGGATGACAACCTACTCTCCCCTTCCAGCCCCCATTTACGCCCAAAACTTACCTGAAGGGCCTGGCTGCATGCTCAGGCCCCTCCATTGAAAGCTCCTGACGCATCAAAATGGCGTATCAAAAGGTTGGGAGGAGGGAAGAGGGATTTTGACAAGCTAGGAGTTCTTGATGGAGGGGCCTGAGCATGCAGCCAGGCCTCTCAGGTACATTTTGGGGGTAAATGTGGGGGCTGGAAGCTGGCTAGCTGCATGTAGCCACCACCCAGGGAAAGCCTGGAGTTTGGCAGAGGTATTGAGTCTGAATTCTGGGAGGAACTGGGATTAAATATTCCATTTCCTCCTGGGATTCAGACTTGTTGAGAAGAGTCTTTGTTCTTACTGTACGCCAAGCACTATGTGTAACCAAACAGCTGTAATCTTTTGGCATTTCACAGATCTTTGGGCAATCTCTGGCACTCATTAGAGTCATTTGCCATTTTTATAAGGGACCTTTTTTTGTTGTTGTTGTTGTTGTTCATTCGTTCAGTCGTCTCCGACTCTTCGTGACCTCATGGACCAGCCCACGCCAGAGCTCCCTGTCGGCCGTTACCACCCCCAGCTCCCTCAAGGTCAGTCCAGTCACTTCAAGGATGCCATCCATCCATCTTGCCCTTGGTCGGCCCCTCTTCCTTTTACCTTCCACTTTCCCCAGCATAATTGTCTTCTCTAGGCTTTCCTGTCTCCTCATGATGTGGCCAAAGTACTTCAACTTTGTCTCTAGTATCTTTCCCTCCAGCGAGCAGTCAGGCTTTATTTCCTGGAGGATGGACTGGTTGGATCTTCTCGCAGTCCAAGGCACTCTCAGAACTTTCCTCCAACACCTTTTTTTACTACACCATTATTTATAACAGAATTTGGGATCCATAAGGATCCTGGAATCAAACATCATTGGATACTGAGGGTCCAATGTATGTACATTAAATTTTAAATTATCTTAAATAGACACTGGGGCTACCTTTGAGTATGTGGTATGGATCTTTTGACCTAAACCTAGTAATTCTACAGCCACAAGGAACTAATCAAAAAAATCATAAATCAATTTTGCAAAAATAAAAAACCCCTAAGGCTAGATTTTTTAAAACCTAGGAAATGTAACATTTCTTGGCTCTTTAGCATTGTCTCCCATTTAATTTATTAACCATAAATTCTAGAATTCGACATTGCAGGTACGAATAAATGACTCACCTTTACAGTTGCTCTATCACTACTACAGCTCTGTTTTATTGGGCAGCAGTTGCTGAAAGATCCGTTCTTTTACTAATTGCAACACGACAGACTGATGTTTCCATGAAGTCCCTACCAGCAGTCTCTAGTGGTGACAGAGTTCCTGCTTCTGATTGTCACACTGGAGATCTCTGGGATTGATTGACACTCCAAAGGAGGTCTGGTATAACATAGACTTTAGATGTCTTGTTGCAGCAGTTTCTGTCGAAAATAATACAATAAAGCTGAATCTGGGAAAGAATGGGATTCTAACGTATTCTACTGTAGGTGCCTCTCCCTGCCTATAATAGGCAAAGTTACTAAGGCCACTTATACACTGCCACATAAAGTCCAGATTATATGGCAATGTAAACTCATATAATCCAGTTCAAAGTAGATAATTTATTATTATTATTATTATTATTATTTCGGGTACTTTTATCCCGCCCTTCTCTACCCCCGAAGGAGGACTCAAGGCGGCTTACAGAAAAGACACAATTCGATGCCTATACAAATTACACTTAATATACAAAACCATAGTTAAAAACAGTTATCACAGTTAACACAATCAACAACAAGTACATAACACATCATATAAAAACTACTCTCGTGATCAGCGTTTTGTCTTTCAGAGTTCCATAGATGTAATCCATTAATCATTTCCTAATCATCATCAAAGTTCTTTCTTTATCTGCCCGCTTGTCCGAATGCCTGGTCCCAGATCCATGTCTTTAGTTTTTTCCTGAAGGAAAGGAGCAATGTTGCAGATCTAATTTCCCCGGGGAGTGAGTTCCACAGGTGGGGGGCCACCACCAAGAATTGGATTATATGGCAATGTATAAGGACCTGAGCCTACATGAACAGCAAACAGAGGGAAAACAGGAGGGAAAATCAGTCTGCCTCTATATTATTTATTTATTTATTTATTTGCAGTATTTATACACCGCCTTTCTCACCCCTGGGGGGACTCAAAGCGGTTTACACATAAATAATGACAAAATTCAATGCCTTACATTGGGCACCGGTACAACGCCAATACAAACAATTACAATAGTAAAATCACAATTAAACATAAATCATAATTAAAACAATACATCAACAAGCATTAAAACAATAAAACTGTCTCGTCAGTCAAATCGCCATTCCAGTCAAGGTCCCTTTAAAATGCTACATACACCTACTGTCCAAAGGCCTAGTCCCAGAACCATGAGGGAGGAAGCGGATCTTACCTCATTTGGGAGTGTGTTCCATAGGCGGGGGGCCACAGCCAAGAAGGCCCTGTCTCTCATCCCTGCCAGATGCATTTTTGCTGTTGATGGGAGTGAGAGCAGGGCCTCCCCAGATGATCTTAGATTATGAGGTGGGACATAGGGGTGGATGCGTTCCAACAAGTAAGCTGGGCCAGAACCGTATAGATCTTTATAGGTCAAAATCAGCACTTTGAATTGGGCTCAGAGATGGACCGGCAGCCAGTGGAGCTGGCATAGCAAGGGGGTGGTATGCTCCCTGTATGTTGCCCTGGTTAGTAACCTGGCTGCTGCCCGTTGGACTAGCTGAAGTTTCCGAACTGTCTTCAAAGGCAGCCCCACGTGGAGCACATTACAGTAATCTATTCGAGATGTAACCAGAGTGTGGACCACTGTGGCCAGGTCAGACTTCCCAAGGTACAGGCACAGCTGGAGCACAAGTTTTAACTGTGCAAAAGCTCTCCTGGCCACCGCCAAAACCTGGGGTTCCAGGCTCAGCGATGAGTCCAGGATCACTCCCAAGCTGCAAACCTGCGTCTTCAGGGGGAGTGTAACCCCATCCAGCACAGGCTGTAACCCTATACCCTGTTCGGCCTTACGACTGACCAGTAGGACCTCTGTCTTGTCTGGATTCAATTTCAATTTGTTAGCTCTCATCCAGTCCGACACAGCAGCCAAGCACCGGTTCAGAGTTCCGACAACCTCCTTGGTAACAGGTGGGAAGGAGTGACCCATTATTCACACTTTACTGACAGATAACACCTTACTCTGAAACTCCGGATGATCTCCTCCAGCGGCTTCATGTAGATGTTAAATAACATTGGGGACAGTACTGAACCCTGAGGACTCCACAAGACAATGGTTGTGGAGTCGAACAGGTGTCACCCAGTAACACCTTCTGAGACCGACCCTCCAGGAAGGACTGGAGCCCCTGCAGAGCAGTACCTCCATGTCCCATTTCTGCGAGGCATGCCAGAAGGATACCATGGTCAACGGTATTGAAGGCCGCTGAGAGGTCCAGCAGAATCAACAGGGACACACTCCCCATGTCTAGCTTCCGACATAGATCATCTACTAAGGTGACCAAGGCTGTTTCAGTGCCATGTCCCAGCCTAAAGCCAAACTGTGCCGGATCTAGATAATCAGAACCCCTGGAGTTGCAAAGCCACCACACGTTCCATGACTTTGCCCAAGTAGGGAAGATTGGAAACTGGCTGAAAGTTGACTAATTGAGTGGGGTCCAGTGATGGTTTTTTCAACAGCAGTTTTATAACAGCCTGTTTTAGGCTGGCTGGAATCTTGCCCTCCTGTAAGGAGGCATTAACCACCACCTTAACCCACTCT